ATCTGGCAGCAAGTGAAGGCCTTGAGCTTTCCTTGAGCATCATGCCATCTCATGGAAGCTTCTGAGGCAGCCACTCACTTCAAAAGAACCAGGAGTCCTTTCCAAGTCAATAATTCACTCCAGAAACTTGGACACTGCAGCTTTCATTCTACATTTAGGATACAATTATCTTATTTCTTTCTTCCTGAGGAAAAAATTCTAGAAGTAATATATACATTTTTAGGACTTTTTCATACATATTACCAAATGTCTAATCAGAATGATTGTCTCAATTTACACATAAATGAAAATATCCATTTCCTTAGTCCTCTTTGCAGCTTTTGCCATTCAGTAGTTAGGGAAAAAATTTCCTTTGTTTCAACTGGCATTTTTAAAAAATTAATAGTGAATCTGAGTTATTTTTCTTTAATTCTATTTTTTTCTTTTGTGATTTGCTCTCATTTGCCAAATTTCTATTGAAATGTTTTCTTTTTCTCATTGATTTTGATAGTATCTTTAAATATGACAGTTAATATTTTCCCAGCTTGTCATGTGTTAACTTCATTTAGTGGTGTTTTGACACAGAGGTGTTGGATTTTAATGCAGTCAAATCCAGCAATCTTATTCTTTATTGTTTCTGCCTTTGTTACCACAGTTAGGAAAACCTTTCCTGTGCCAAGATTATAAAAATATTAATCCATTCGTTCTTCTGCGCCTTTTATGGACCTGGGTTTTACATTTCACATTTAATCCATCTAGAGGCTATCTTGGCATAGGAGTTAGGTAAACGTGTAACTTTATTTCTTTCCCAAATGGCTAGCCTTTTGTCATAACACGATTTATTGAGTTATCTGTCTTTCCCTAACGTTTTGAAATGCATGTGAAGTGGGGGAATAGTTCTTTAGCAGTTTCTCAAATCTACCCTACTGACACTCCTCCCTCTCCCCTCCCTCCTGTTGTGTGTGTGCGTTAAGGTGCAGGTGGTGGTTGAGGCCTGGGCCCCATTTAAGATCTGGGTCAAGACTGGTAAGTGTCTGTCTAGAGAGCATTGGCTCTCATCTGGGGCTCATCAACTCCAATCCTAACCGCTTTCTGCCCCACTTTCCATCCAATGTGTTCGTTTTCCTGAGACTCCTTAAGAGAATTTATGCAGATTTAAACGAGAAAAGTGACTACAGTCTCCCTTATAGCCACCTTTTCCAACTAAAGCTTTGTCATTAACTTGCACAATGGGATCTGAAACTTGTCCTAATGTCCACAGCTGATCCTGACGTCAACAGAGAACTATGTGTCTGGAGTGACTTCCAGGAGCATGGAGCTGTTTATCAGAAAGGAAATGACTCCCGGCCCTGGGGGGTGGAGTCTTACCCAGCCTTACTGACATTGCCGCAACAGAGAAGGGAGCAGAGACACTCACACAGCACTGCCCCATCAGACAGAACTGCCTTTGCTGTGTGCCTCCTGGGCTTTGAAAAATACAAGTGTCTGTGGCTGCTCTAGAAGGAAAAAGCGGTGACTGTGCCCTGTCCCTTGGTGCCCTACCCCTTTTTCTCTCGGACTCGGGAACAAATGATGGAAGGAGGCACCACAGGGAGCTCTGCAGTCGTGCTCAGGGGCTCTTCAGGAGTGGGGGGCTTCAGGGCAGTGTCCACTGCACACTCCAAGACTTCTCTGTGAGTCAGTCTTAAGGAAGGTGGTGTGTTTATCTTCTCAACTAGACTGTCGGCTTCCTCTCTAGGAGAAGGGAATGGGTCTTGTTCACATTTGTGTCCCCAACACCCAGCACAGTACCTGACACTTAAAATGGGCCTAGTACATACATGTTGAATGAGCTTAAGTAACAATGTGTTATTAGTAATAGTAATAATTAACATTTAGGAATCAACTTATCACTTACAATTTCATATACAGTGTGAAATTAAATTTTGTTTTGTTTTATTTAACAGATGAGTGGCTTTTGGTAGAGGACAAGGACAAGCAAGAGGAAGAGTTCCTTATGAAGCCCTTTATTCAATAGGATAGACCAGTTTCCGAGTGGGAGCTCTGGAGCAGGGAGCCTAGAGAGAAGTCCACTGAGCAGGAGAGCTCCAGGATAAAGGAAAACAAAGGTGATTCCAAGGGGGAGGAAGCCCCAGACAACAGCAGCCTCAGCCATCAGGAACCTTAACGCCATTCTCCCCTGTCCAGATTCCCTCTTGGGGAGGCCAGGATCCTAGAAAAGTGCATTTGAAGGAGGCTTAAGGCATTTTGGAGAGCTTTTATCTCATGGATGCTCAGAAGCAACCTTGCCTCCTCCCAGGATCACACAACTGGGCCAAGGACTGCCTGTGTTTGTGCAGCTCTTCAGAGAAGCCTCATGAAAAAGAGCTCTTGCCCTATGTGCTGAGTAATTTTCAAGGCTTACAATTTCTCAGTGCTTCAGTCACATCTTCAGGTAAGAAGAAAAATCTAATTTGTTACCTTAGAAAATACTGTTTTCTCTCCATAATTCATAGGGTACACGCAGAAGGATTTTTTTCCAGGTTCACTCACATCCCTGCCTTAGCTCTGAAGGAATAGGATAGGGGGTTGCCTGGCCAGGACCCTGGCCCTCCCAAGAAGCCAGGCCCCTGTCGCTGTCACCCAGCCCTATCCTAGGCTCTCCACCAGACAAGAAGCCTGTCCAGAGTCCCTCAGCTAGTCAGTGGTGGAGCCAACACGCAAATTCAAGATAATTCCAAAGCCTGATCTCTTACCCATTATTTCTGGTGCGAATTCTACTAAAGAGATTGGAGGAAACAGCTGTCCACCAGACTTAAGTATCCTTCCCCCAGCCCCTCGAAATTCTCCTGAGGTGTTCCAAATTCCCTTTTCCCGCAGTCTCTGCTTGAAAGATTTGCCCCTTGCTTCAGAGCCCTGATTACAGAACAACTGGTCTTTGCTCATGCAGCGGCTCAACACACAGCCCCTAAGCACCCAAGGCGTTATCACTGATTTCTCCCCAAGGCTCTGCTTCCTTCCACGATGTCCTACAAGAACCCTAGATTCCCGACTTCCTGGGTAAGCGGACGGCTTCATGAGGCTGCCACTCCAGGTCTCGTTAATCTGAGTGACTGTGCGGCCCCCTCCGTCCCAGCTCCACGTCCGCAGACAAGTGGGCACCACGGGCTCCGGGACCAAGTAGGGCGGCCTGATGACCCAGCGCCCACCGGGTCCCGCAGAGCCCGAGGGCCAGTACGCGCTGCCGAACTACGTTTCCCACAGTGCTCCGGGAAGTCGGGGCCGCCGAGGCCCGGGGCCTGGCGGACCGGCTCGCGCGGAGCCTCCTGGGAGTTGTAGTCCGGTCCGCTCGCGCCGGCGCTGCTGCGGGCTTGGCGCCGGCCTTTGTCTGTCTGCGGGCGCGCGCCGCTGCGGTGAGTGAGGCCGCCGGCCGGGTCAGTGTGCCCGGGCAAGGTGGGGCCGCGCAGGCAGGCCGCCGCCCCCGGGCCCTCCGGGGCCCCCGCGGCCCTGAGCAGGCCTGGCCGGCCTGGGCCCTGAGGGAGGCCAGCCCCGAGGGTAGAAGTCTGCGGCCCTCAGAGAAGGGTCCAGCTGGACCGGAGAGCGGGGCGCTGAGGTCCAGCACGCAGGGTGGGCCCCGGGGGGCCTGAGGCAGGACAGGAAGTCCGCCCTGAGGAGCAGGGGCCCCTCCGACCGCCGCTCCGCTGGGCAGGGCGTGGGTGAAGGCCTGCACCCTGGAGACGCGGGAGGGGGAGCCACAGGCAGGTGTGCCCGGGCCTGCAGTGAGGGTTTCAGGAGATGGACAGGGGAAAGTGCAGTCTCTCCAGGGAGGGTGATGGGGAGAAACGACAAGCTCCCCTGGGTGGAGAATGGGAGAAAGGACAAAGTGGATCAAGTGTTTGGAGAAAATAATCACCCTTACCCAGAATCTCCTAATCCTGAAACTGTCCCCCAAGAGGTTCCCAGGACAGCAAAATTAGCCCCTCTTCTAGTCCTCTCCTTCTGAGGACTCTCAACTTTAGGCCATAAATCTGTAGGTGATGTCAGAGACTCTTCACCTTTGATAATTTTATTCTCCCAGGAGCCACCTGATATGACAGTGTTATTAACCTATTTAGTGAGGAAGCAGAGTCAGCACTGTTTGGGTATTTGCCCAAGGTCACATGGAGGAGCCAAGGCAAGAATCCAAGTCTCTTGGGGCCTGATCCTGAGGTCTTCCAAAGGATAACTAGCCTTTCTGCCAGGAAAAGCAAGATTTTCTATTATAAAGCCACTTTCTCCAAAATCTTCAGGAAATTAATTTCTCAGACTTGTGATCTAGGGAGGAATATAAGACAATTTCCCTTTATTAATCAAGGAGGTTTCTGAGACACAGCTGAGTTGTCACTTGTTGAAGATCTCACAGCATGTGGAGAGGCAGAGGTGTCAATTTTACCCACTTATTCTGTCCAAACTATTTGCTGGACTCCCCAGGGACAGAGTCCAACCCCAGGCAGCATGTGCCATGTACCTTCCACTGACTTTTGGTGGATGTGCACTTGTTGAGCAGTAACACCTTGAACTTCCAAATGAAGGTCCCGTAGCATCCCGGCTCTCTGATAGGGGATTCCTTTGTAGCTTGTACTCCAAATTGGAGCTGAGTCCTCCAAATGAGAGTTTAAAATGTTTCCCCAGTCATCACAGCATGTAGCAAAATGTGCAGTTGTCAAGAAGACCAGGTGCTTAGGTTAACAAAACAATTGTAGCATCACACTGCTATTTCATGAAATCAAGAGGCCAGCATTTTGATGAGACATATTAGAGGGATTATACATTGAACCACTGCATAAATAAAGTGTAAGAATTCGGTAATTAGGTCCTAAAGTAAGAAGAGAATATTCTAAAAAAACAAGTAGAAAAAGATAATATGGAGCAAGAGGATTCCTAGGATCTGGAAGTGTAGTAAAGTCTGGTCAAGCCCTGTCTCATTCTGTTCCATTTTATAAGAATTCTCAACAGCTCTTTAGTGGTGAGGAACTAGAGAACTGTCTAGTGTAAGGGCATAGGCTTTGGATCTGGAAAGTCTTGGATTTGAACCTTTGCTTCACCTCGACTCCTTACTGGCTCAGAGAATTTGGGCAAGTTACTTACCCTAGTTGGTGTGCCTGTGGCTTGCTTTTGGAGTCTGAAGTAGGTCTTCCTTTTCCAAGAATTGACAAGCATTTTGACTTCCTCAGAACTCGTATTCTCATATCTTAAAGAGTAGGAGAGGAGTGGGTCTGGATCTGGAGCCTCCTAAGAATTGCTAAAAGGTAACATATGAAATCTCTTGTTCTGTCCTTATAACTGAGGGGGGAACTGGAGAGGAGAGCTGGAGCCATTTCCATTGTAGAACCAATCATGAAGGCTGAAATGTTGGGTTTTTTAGATTCTGAATTCCTTTGGAGGCTTGGAGGATAAAATAGCAGGTGGTTAGGTGGGGGAAGAAAGTGAAAGATCCCAATCACATGCCAAGGCTAAGGTACAAACAGGAGTGGCTGTTATCTTGGGGTTGGCAGAAAGAGACATGTTTACAGTATGTGTTCTCTGCTTTCCCACCTCCCCCTTCCTCCTGGACTCATTTGTGTGTGGTCATGGAACCTTTCAGCCCATTTTGCAGTTACATTATAGGTGACTGATGTTACATCAGGCAATCCAGATTTCCTCCATTTACTTGTACCCCAAACTACAGCTCCTGTTGACTTTATCCTTCTCACTTATCAATTCTTCTGCCCTTTCCTGTTTGTTTTTGTTGTTCTGTTTTGTTTTTGTTTGTTTGTTTTTTCCTCCTCAGGTGCTCAAGCACAGCCCATGGAAGAAGCATATGAAGAGGTGGTGATTAAGGTCATATAGCAGGAGTGGACATGTTTGGATTTCCAACAGCTACCCTGCTGGACTGTCATGGAAGATATGCCCAGAATGTAGCATTTTTCAGTGAGTGAGTCAGCTGATCGCTGAGATGCCCTCAGCTCACAATATTCAGTATCCCTGTCCTCAGCACTGGTAGGCAGGCTAAGGAAGCAGAGGAGACATTACTTTGGTGGAACTCACCATTCCTGGGGTTACAGGGAAAGCCTGCAAGCTGGAGTTAGAAATAACAGTAGAAACAGAGCAGAACAATCTTGCTATGGAAGTAGTCTTGAGGAGTCTCGGAGAGAATGAGCAGCTTTAAATCTGAGTGCAATCAATGAATAAGGAAGAGTAAGGCAGGGGAACAAGGAAAAAAATCTCCATAGGATGATTCCAAGAAGACTGGTAATAGTGATGAATGGACCTATATTTAAAGTGCAGTAGGAGGCTCAGATGCAGGGCATTATTGGAAAATACTGTCAATATCTGCACAGAAAGTGTTTGAGAATAAGTTCCAAACCAAAATTGATTTCAATTCCACCATAGCTTAGTAGACTGAAATAGCATGGGTTTTAAAGGGAAAAATTCCTTGGATCAGATTCTATAATTGCCCTGGCTCGTGGTATCAGACAAGTTATTTAACTTCCTTGAGCTCCAGGCTCTTCATCTGTAAAATGGGACAATAAGCTCTGCCTTGCAGGGTTGCAGGGATTAGAGATAACAGATGTCAAGTACCAAGGATTCTGCTACATGTTTTCTGACGTTATGGAGCCTACTCCACTGTCAGGAGAGCAGATTGGAGCAGAGGTGGATTTCTCAAGAAGCTGATGAAACTTAAGTTTCAGGACCCCTTTCTCACATTGGTCTCTTCAAGGACCTGTACCTACTTTTATACCTTTTCTTAATGAAGTCCCTCCAAAATTTTAAAGCTTTAGGCCCTACACAACCTGGATCCATACCTATTTCAGAGTCAGATAAGACTTGGGTATGGGGTTCTATGTGATCCTGTATAATTTTTCTTAATTTTTCTGAGCAAATGGAGATAATCATGTCTACCTCACAAAATTATTTGGGAGGCTAAATTAAACTAAATTTAGAGGCAATACACTGCTGTGGAGCATGCCCGCGTTTGAATCCCAACTCTATGCTTACCTAGCTGCATGATCTTTGACAACCTCCCCATGCTCTCATTTCCTTACCTGTAGCAATCTCACAGGATTGTTTTCAGAACTAAATTATCTATGCAAAGTTCATGGTATAATGTCTGGCACATAATAAGCACTCAAAGCATTGTTTCTTCTTTCCTTATTCTTCTCACTCAGCATATTGGTGCATCTTACATGACTTCCCTCTCATTTTACCAGATGTGATGACAGAAGCCCACCACAAATATGATCACTCTGAGGCCACAGGATCTTCAAGCTGGGATTTTCAGAATTCTTTCAGAAGAGACAAGCTGGAACAAAAATCCCCAGATTCTAAGGCACTAGAGGAAGATTCGCCTGGAGTGAGACAGAGGGTCTATGAGTGCCAGGAATGTGGAAAATCCTTCAGGCAGAAGGGTAGTCTAACGTTACATGAGAGAATCCACACTGGTCAAAAGCCCTTTGAGTGTACCCACTGTGGAAAAAGCTTCAGGGCCAAAGGCAATCTTGTTACACATCAGCGAATACACACAGGAGAGAAGCCCTATCAGTGCAAGGAGTGTGGGAAGAGCTTTAGTCAACGAGGTAGTCTGGCCGTTCATGAAAGACTCCATACTGGGCAGAAACCCTATGAGTGTGCCATTTGTCAGAGAAGCTTCAGAAATCAAAGTAACCTTGCTGTTCATAGAAGAGTTCACAGTGGTGAGAAGCCCTATAGATGTGATCAGTGTGGAAAAGCCTTCAGCCAGAAAGGAAGCTTAATTGTTCACATCAGAGTCCACACAGGCCTGAAACCCTATGCCTGCGCACAATGCAGGAAGAGTTTCCACACCAGAGGGAATTGTCTCCTTCATGGCAAAATCCACACAGGAGAGACACCCTATCTGTGTGGCCAGTGTGGGAAAAGCTTCACTCAGAGAGGGAGTCTGGCTGTGCACCAGCGAAGCTGCTCACAAAGGCTCACCCTATGACCACTCTGTTCAAAGGAAGTTCTCTTTATGAATTAAGAGTCCAAAATCCTCTGAGATAAAGCAACCTATCCAATTCTATGGAATGAATGGAGATTCTTTCAGAAAGACCATCAATGGGTAGGGCAAACTGACTTTTCTCCTTTCCCTCAAATGAGTATGAAAAATAAATGTCTTGTTTATTATCATTATCACATATGTTTCATAATTTCTGTAAGTTTATTTTGACCTAATTTCCCAAGGTACCTCCATTAATCTAGAGCATAATTGGAGATTGTCTGTAGCAGATTCAGATTTTAAATTTATAGTTGACACCATCAGCCTTTTTTAAAAAATCAATCCCAAGATTCTTTTCTTCTTTACATATTCAAATTAATTTTGTTTTGCATGCAAGACCACTGGGCAGAATTAATGAGGTGAATCTAACTACTTTAATAATCCTCTTCTTGAATACTGTATTACCTGGATGATACCCCCCAGAAATCTATTCTAACAAATCACCCAGGCCCTAGCCTTTCCATACAAAAGAGAGTTCCTTTCCAAGCCTGCAAAGGTTTGGAGTCTGTGCACTGTGTTTTACTTCAGTCCTCCTCTCTTAACTGGATAGAGATAATTTGCCTATAGCCAAAGAGCAGACAACCATCTGTGCAATTTTTTTGAGAATCCTAAGCCTATTATCATGTCCTCTAATAAATGGACTCCAACTCCCTGGGACACACAATGACTTTCACTCCCCTTTTAGCAATAGTAGCAATATCTCAGGGTTGGAGTCACCTAGAAAGGACATAAGTGTCCTTATTACTGAGCCAAGATTTGTAGTCAACAATGAAGTTCCAGTCCTCCAACAATACTATCCTCTTCCTCACACACACACACACACACACACAGGAAGAAATTTGGAAGGATAAACTACTCTAATATTTTTTTACCTCTAGTGGATGAGATTTGAAGAATATTGGAGAGGAGAAATTGGTTATAAGGGGGAATTTCCATTTTTTTTAACCTTAGCCACCTCTGTAAATTTTCATGCTGAGTATTTATGTAATTAAAATGATGAATGATGTAGACGTGTGGTTTTCTTGATAAGATACCATTCCATTCTTTCTAGTAGATCCTATAAGCTGTAGGCTCCTTAATCCCCAAAAGCTTCATAGCAAATCTTTATCATCTAGAGAGGTAAATTTTATCAAAGGTCTTTGGGATGGAAGCACTTTACAAACACTATATGAGTTTGAATAGTAATACAATATTGCTCCCAAAGATACCCTGATAACATTTGAAGATGCATACAAGAATGTTCATATCATCCTCATCTATAATAGTCATAAACTTGAAATAACCCAAATGTCCAACAAAACCTAAGGTAATAAATTGTGGTATGTTCATGTAATGAAATATGACTCGGCAATAAAAAATAACTGATAAATGTAATGATGTGGATGAATCTCAAAGTCTTATGTTGAGTAAAGAACCCAAGTACACACACACACACACAAATATAGTATATAATTCCGTTTATATGACTTCACAGAACAGAAAAAACTAGCCTATGGTAATAGAAGTCAGATAGTGGTTGCCTCTATTGGGGCCGCGGGAGTTGAGGAGTGACTTGAAAGGGGCACAAGGCAACATTATAGAGTGAAAAATGTTCTGTACCTTACTTCGGGTGGTAGATGCAATTGTCAAAATTCATTGAACTCAACACTTAAGATCTATGCATTTTATTATATTTGAAGAATACTTCAATAACAATGTGGCGGTTTAAAAATACTGCCCACAAGTTCTTTGACACTCACCCCATGATGGGCTCTATGTCACCTCTCCTTGACTCTGGGCAGGTTTATGACTGCTTCAAACAAAATACAGCAGAAGTGATGCTACGTGACTTCCAAGGGTAGGTCTGAAAAGCCCTTTAAAGGTCAGAGAGTTTCTGCCTGATTCTCTTGGGACACTTGCTCTGGAGAAAGCCAGCCACCAAGTAAAAAGTCCAACTATCTCGAAACTACTATGCTGGACAAGTTGCATGTAAGTGCTCCGGTTGACAGGTTCAGCTGAGCTCCCAACAGACAGCCAGCATCAACTCCCAACCATGTGAGTGAGCCCTTGTAGATGTCTAGCCCCGTGGAGCCTTCAGATGACTGCAGCTCCAGGTGACATCTGACCAAAACTGTATGAGAGACCCCCGAGTGAGAAGTGCCTCCCAAATTCCTAACACCCAAAATCATGAGAAAAATTAAAGATTATAGTTTTATACTACTAAATTTTCAGACTTTTTGTTATATAGCAATAATAGAACATATTTTTTTTAAAGGATAAGTGATTGTGAAAAGAAAAGGAAAAATCTAGGGAAGCAACTTGATATTAACTCACTGATTTAATCAAAACAGGAAATTATGATTTTTGTTTCACTAGAAAGCTTAAAATTTAAAAATAAACATTCCTTTTGACAAAATAGGAGGCAAGGTACAGATAAGTTAACCCAGATCCAAGTTATAAAGTGAAGATACAGGTCTCCAGCAGTCCTGCACTATAAGAAATGTATATAAATATACATACATATATATTCGAATCCTGGTTCTACACAAAGGAATGAGTAAATAGGTCAGAAAATATAAATGATCTTTAAAAATAGTATTCCTATTTTTATACATATATTATTAAATTTATTTAAAGAGTGTTGGCTGCTTATATTAAAATAATAACAAAAGAGAGTTCCAGTTCAAGATTGTGATGGAGGAAGATCCTGAACACACTTCCTCCCATGAACACACAAAATCTACAGCTACATGTGGAACAATTTCTTCTGGAAAAAAAACTAAAAACTAGCTGAGCGACTCCTATAGATCCAGCAAATGAGAAAAAAACCCACATCGAACCGGGTAAGAGAGGCTGAGACACAATCTTGCCATAAACCCCACCCCTGGCACAGCAGCCCACAATTGAGAGGGAACTCAAAACTTGGAGCTTCTCCCTGAGGAGTGAAGAGTTTGAACCCCACATTGGGCACCTCAACATTTAAGACCTGCACTTGAGAGACAAGCCCCCAAATATATAGCTTTGGAAACCAATGGGGCTTGGAACCACGAAACCCACAAGGCTACAGCAAAATGAGAAACAGCTCTTAAGGGGCTCTTGCTCCCCAACTCACTCACCCCAGGGACCAGCACAGAGGCAGCCAAATGAGAGGCACCCAGAATTTATGTAAAACAGGTTTATTCGCTTATCTTAAAGCATTGGACTGAGGGGCAGGCATCTAATTTAACACACATCTAGGGGCCTTCTGAGGGTACTCTCCAGGGACAGAAGGTGACAGCTCCATCTTTGCACTCTCCCTCTGCCTTGCTCCAGCTCACAGAAAGGAGCTTGTACCCTCCTCTGGTGCTCTGATTTTTGTGGCTGCCCCACACAGGACATTTCTTGTATCCAGTGACTCTTGTGGCCAGTGAGGCTTATGCACAAAGATCCCACAGGATTGTAAACAATGGAGTAAGAGTTCTTAATTGGCAACCACTCCCAAGGCACAGCAAGAGGCAACAGTCTGAGGAGCCTAGTCTTTCTGTGAAAGAGTCCTATGAGCTTATCTTCATAGCTGCGATCTGAGAGACAGACTTCTAATTAAATACACATGTAAGAGCACACTGTAATCCTCTCCAGTGACCTCAGAGGTTGAGTGCTGTCTTTACACTCTCCCTCTGCCATGCTCTACAGCACCAGTGACTCCCAGAGAGGAGCTTGTACACTTGTCTGGTGCCCTGGGCTTTGTGGGTGCTGTTGAGGGGATGCCCCTTGATTACCTTGCTCTGGTGCCCCATGGGGCTTGCATTCCTGTGTCCCATGGGACTGTAACAAATAGAAAGACAGTTCTTGGCCAGCTACCAGTCCCAGGGCACTGCACAGATAGCAGACTGAAATAGACCCCCAGTCTTTCTGTGAAAGAGGCCTATTTGCTTGTCCTGGAAATTTGGCCTGAGGGGCAGGATTCTAGTTTGGCACACATCTAGGAGACTACTGAGGTACACTGTGGGGATGGAGGCTGGTGGACGCCATGTTTCTGCAATCCCTCTGCCTTGTTCCAGGTCACTGATATCTCCCAGAAAGGAACTTGTACACTCACCTGGCACCCCTATTTCTGTGACTGCCACACAGAGACACCTCTAAGAGCAGTGACTCTGATGGCCAGTGGGACTTACACTGGTGGTCCCACAGGACTGCACATATATTTGCAAACTTTAAAGCTGCTGCCTGAAGGTCTGGCTTCCAATCAGCCTGAACCTAGGCCCTGACTGAGATCCTCCCCTTTGGGATACTGACAGGCCTTGGCACACCTTCAAATTTTAAGAGCCACTGAAAATAAAATAGGCAACTTGGAAAATCACAAAGGTTTGAGAGAAAACAAAGAACTAGGTCAGGGTTGAATGATAAAGTTCATCTCCTACATGAGGTCATTCCTTCAAGACTGGGAGAAGTGGCTGTTTTATCTAATGCATAGAAACCAACAGAGAAATGAAAGAAATCAAAGAAAATGAAGAAAAAGGAATATGTTCAAAACAAAAGAACAAGATAAAACCTCAGAAAAAGTCCTTAATTAAATGAAGATAAGTGATTTACCTGATAAAGAGTTCAAAAATCGTGGTCAAAAAGATGCTCACCAAACTCAGGAAAAGAATGGATGAACACAGTGGGAATTTAAACAAAGAGATAGGGCCGGCCCCGTGGCTTGGTGGTTAAGTGAGCGCGCTCCACTGCTGGCGACCCGGGTTCGGATCCTGGGCTCGCACCGACGCGCTGCTTCTCCGGCCATGCTGAGGCCGTGTCCCACATACAGCAACTAGAAGGATGTGCAGCTATGACACACAACTATCTACTGGGGCTTTGGGGGGAAAAAATAAATAAATAAAATCTTTAAACAAAGAGATAGAAAATATTTTAAAAGTACCACTAGAAGTCAAGAGCTAAAGAATAAAATAGCTGAAGTGAAAAATACACTAGTGCAGTCCAACAGCAGACTAGGTAAAGCAAAAGAAAGGATCAGTGAACTTGAAGGCAGGGCAGTGGAACTCACCCAATCAGAGCAGCAAAAAGAAAAAAGAATGAAAAAAGTAAAGGTACCTTAAGGAACTTATGAGACAACATCATGCAGACCAACATTCACATTATAGGGGTCCCAGAAAGAGGAGAGAGAGAGAAAGGGGCA